CCATAGCACTGGTGCCACCCCAGGGTGCTGGTGTCATCCCATGGGTACAGTGCCATCCCATGGGTCCAGTGCCATCCCAGGGCACTGGTGCCATCCCATGGTGCTGGTGCCATCCCCAGGGCTGGTCCTGCTGGCACGTGCCCACACCTGATGGGGTTTTCCCACTTAAATTCCTACCCTGCCCCACGCCCCTGGCTGTTGCTCCCCTGCATCCCCACGGACAAGGCTGTCCTTGTCACAATGCCCTGACTGGCACTATATTTATATTTCAGGCCACCACATTTCATAGCCAGAGTTCCTCTTTGCAAGATGCATTTTAGAGTCTCAAACACCTGTGGCTTCCTTACACAGCGAGCCCTTGCCTCCCCAGACCCTGCAGGCCCCCGTGGCAGCAAGCATCCACACCCAGACGTGTCCTCAGCTCTGCTTTGCTGCATTCAGGGCTTCTCCCAAGGGGTCCTGCCTGGTGAAAGTGCCAGAAGTTTCTGTTTCTCTTCTGTTTCTCAGCAGACATGATTTACTTACTGTAACTGGCTATCTGTTATGCCCTGCGCTGCATTATTAACTTGGTGATCGTACATTTAGCAGGGAATTTATGAGAAATGAGGAGACATTCATTATCAGCAGCACCACAGACTTTACTCTTATATGGTCTCCCTGCATGGAGCAATGCTTGGCTCAGCCAGAGCTCACCCAGCTCCAGCCATTCCCTGGGCCACAGCAGGACAGGGCTGCTCTGCACATTTCTGGGGCTGCATTCCCCTCACTTAGGCCAGCCCTTATTTTTTCCCCCAATTAAAATATTTTCTGATGGAATTTAACTGGCTTAATTGTGCCATCATGCCTTCTGTTGTCTGAAAACCAGGATTTTTTTCCTGGATTGTTTCAGGATTGTTTTCAGGCAGGGAGCTGTGTGAGGATTGTCTGAGACATATCTGTGCTTCCCAGCAACTGAACTGCAACAGAAGTGCCCTTAAAATACCCTCCTTATCCTGCACCTCTGACCTGGGGACAAACATCCCCTCCTTCCTGTACCTCTGAACTGGGGACAAGTACCTGCCCTGTGCTGTATCTCTGAAATTGGGACCACAGGAGGCGTCACAAGGAGCACAGATGGCCAAATTAAACTCTTGGGGTTTCTGTGAGCAAAGGCTAAAGCGTCCTGCCGTGAGATTTGGACAAGTGTTCCCAGATGTTCTATTAAAGAAACAACAACCACAGAAAAACCCGAGCAACAGCCAAACAAACAGAAATCTCAGGTGGAGCCCCAGAGACACACAGAGAGGCTGCAGGCAGGTTGGAGCCAGGGGCACACAAGCCTCCGTGGAGAGAGGCTGCAGGCAGGTTGGAGCCAGGGCAGGCACTGCCATTTGCACGACCTGGATGTCTGACAACCTCCCAGGAATTTGGATTCCAAGAGCAACACAATGAAGCAGTTCCTCCTTGACCCCAGAGCCATGCCACAGCTGTCTGCAGAGCGCTCCATCTCGGAAACCTCCCCATCCCTGAAGCCCTTCCCAGCAGACAGTGGCATTTCTGGCTCCTGGGAAGGGCTGGGCTTCCCCAGCTGCAGCCTGGTGGCAGCTGTGAGGAGCCAGAGCTCCAGACCACGTAAACCAGGGAAAGGATGGGAAGAGCAGAGATGGCTGGAGGCTCTTGGGCATTTCCCATCCTTAGGTTTTCACTGAAGGGCCTGAAGACAAAGCAAATATCTACCTATATCTATCTATATCTATATCATCCATATCTATATCTATATCCATATCTATATCTATATCTGTATCTATATCTATATCTATATCTATATCCATAACTAATCTATCTATATCTATCTGTTACATCTCACAGGTATCAGGACATTCTGAGTCTCAGTTTCTGCATGCCCCACGCCTGGCTGGGAAGGTCTGGGCAGCACTGATGCTCCTTTGGGCTGCTGCATCCTCCGACCCCAAATGGATGCTGCAGACCGGGCAGGCTTTGGCAGCAGCCAGCGGAGGGAAAGCTATGCAAAACACGCCCCGGGGAGCTGCCAGGCATCCCGGATTGCCTTCTTTGGAGTGGTTTTGGAGGCTGCAGAAGGCAAAGCCAGTTCTCTGCAGGAGTTTGTGGCGCAGGCACTGGCTGCCCCCTCCTCCAGCTCCTGCCCTGGGGCTTTCCTGGCAGCAGAATTGCTCCCACCCCGAGCACCCCGAGCCCGTCACGCCGGGAGAAGCAGAGCACAATTAGAGATGTGGCTGTGCCTCTCTGCAGACGGTGGGGATGGGAATTAATCCTCCCATTAACGGGTGAAATGGAGCGTTTGCGTCTCACAAAGCAATTACACAATAATAGCGGGAGAACGATGATAGAAATCACTTCGTCTCTGAAGTTGCTCTCCAATCCAACACATGAATAATTCCTCCTAGGCATTAGTGGGAAAGCAGTATTAAAGCACCCATATAAACAAAAATTACTGGAAAAAAACAGACGAGGCATGCTTCATCGCTCTGTCAGAGCCAAGCACAACTAAATTTATACAAAGTGGGCAGAGAAGCTTGAAGGGGCAAAGACATTTGTTAGTGCTCTGTGCGAGATGAGCTCACAAGGAACGCGTGCTTGATCTTGGCAGCTTTCTGATGTCTTACTCCTAAAGCATCAGCTTTAGTCTCGGTTTCCATGGCAGATACTTTTCTGAGCTTGTATCTTCCACAGATATTGCTAATTTATGCTGTCAGCCACATCTCTGCAAATACCTGCAGAGTGATTCCATGTGCAGTGGGAGCGGTGAAAACAAGGTGCACGTGAGCCTGCCTCAGCTCTTGTTTTAGACTGGGGATAAAAAAGGGTTTGTTTTCTTCAGCCCACCAGATCTTGGCTGATCTTCTGGCACTGAATTTTGCCCCAAACACCCTGACACTGTGTTATCTGTCCTGTGAAGCAAAGCTCTTCCAGGATTTCATCCAGGCACGTGTTTTGGGCAGGTTTACCCCCCAGTGCTCGGGCAGCTCTGAGCAGGAAGGGTTGGGCAGCACATGTGGCCCTGCTTCCTTCTGCTCCCCCATCACATTTCATGCTAGCAGATCTCATAAACCATGAGATCTTTCCCTGGCAGAGATCCAGCCACACCAAAACTGTCCTATTTTCAGGCTGGATTTATCAGCCCTGCGAATGTTGAGCAAGCAGCTGATGAATTGGTCTCACCAATTTGGCAAGACCATGGCAAGGTGAGAGGCTGCACTCCTGGCTGGTGGAAGAAGAATCCCAGGGATTTTCAAAGCTGTTGTCTGCACACTGAAGCACAGAACATCCAGCACATACGAAAGAAATTGCGAAAAACTTGTAAAAGTGACAGAACCACAGGAAGCCATGGCACGTGCAGAGAGAGCTCATGCCAGAGCAAAGTCCTGGCAGCACTGGGGAAACCCATGTCCTGGCAGGATATGGGGACTGTTCAGGGCTGTTTCAGGATGTGCCCAGCAGCAGCAACGGGTGAGTCCCAAGTCCCAGGTAGGAAAGAGGCCAGACACTGAAATGAGGCCACTCCTCCTAAGGATTGAAGCCTGGCAAGTTCTGGCCAGCTGGAAGTTGATCTGAGCCCGGATGGAGCTGGGCTTGCCAGTCATTCTGGGGCTCATTCAGGTTACTTTTTACCTGCCCTGCTCACAGTTCACCTGGTGACCAAGAGCTCCCAGGCAATCCCCTTCTCCATTCTGAGCCAGCACAAACATCTACACTGGCCTCAGGTGTGCTCACCTCTTCACTGCTCCCACTGACTGCTAGAGAGGCAAATCCCCTCTCTCTATCCAAAGGAACAGAAGTTTTAAAGGGAATGTGGAATAAAAAGCATCTGGTGATGTTTCCTTGGATCTGTTCTTCAGTGTGGTCAGAGGTAATTTCTCTGGTAAGTGAGGGAAACCCCTGGTGTGAGTGGGATGGGGACAGAGGCTGCTCCTGGAGCCTTTCAGCAAGGATGAGTAACAGGGTCCAGCAGTAACAGTAAACAAGCTTCTAGTTTTCCAAACAGAGCCTCTGCAGCATCCGGCTGCTTTAAAACATTAACCAAAATACACTTATCTCTGGCTCCTGGCCTTAAGTGACTTCTGAACCCAGTTATTCTGGGCCGTACTGACTGTGCTCAGCACATCCAGGTGTGGGAGGCCAGCAGGAGCCCTGGTGGCCAGAGCCAGCCCCCTCTGTGCCCTGTCCACAGTGCCTTGAGAGAGACAAGGGACCCAAAGGGTCACCGAGTCCAGCTCCTGCTGCTCACAGGAGCCAAAACTAACCCGTGTGACTAAGAGAGAGTCCTCCCAGCCCAAGGGCTTGTCATTGACCAAGGGTGGTATGGAGAGCAGACTCTTGTGGAGCAGAGGTGAGTTTTCTTTCCAGCACTAATGAGCATGAAATTTAAGCAAAAGGACACTGGAGGCAGGAGCAGGGCAGCAAATTGAGTTTTCTTGCTCCCCCTGAGATCATTGCTGTGGGCAGCTGAGGGTGTAACACCCAGGGAAGTCATCTCAGAGGGTGTTATGGATCACCTGCCTTTGGGACAGCACTTCTCAGTTAGAAATTACAGCTCTGTGTGCACTAAAGATGAGTTGCATGTGCTGGAAGCAGCAGAAAGGAGCCCATGTCCAGACAGGAGCAGGTTTGCAGTGCTGGCAATGGAGACAGAGCCAAGTTTGCACAGGCTCCAGCCTCTTCCTAGCATTGCAGCAGTTCTCACCTGGAGTTTCACTTGTTTGTGATATGATTCTTGGTGCACGCAGTGCTTTTCAATGCAGCAAGGGCAGGAGGGGAGTTTGGGCTGTGCTGGCTCAGTCCCACATCCATGGCTGAAGCCTGTTCTGTGGCGGGACAAAAAACCCCCAACATTTCGGAGACAGAGCCAAGTTCTTGGCTGTTTGCACAGGCTCCAGCCTCTTCCTAGCATTGCAGCAGTTCTCACCTGGAGTTTCACTTGTTTGTGATATGATTCTTGGTGCACGCAGTGCTTTTCAATGCAGCAAGGGCAGGAGGGGAGTTTGGGCTGTGCTGGCTCAGTCCCACATCCATGGCTGAAGCCTGTTCTGTGGCGGGACAAAAAACCCCAACATTTCCTTTGATGAAGCAGCCAGGACTTTTCATCTCGCCCGCACGACAGGAAAGTTGGCAACTTAAATGTTAAACTTGCCTGTGAGTGTTGGGTGTTGACATCATCGTGATCTCAGCGCTGTAACCGGAGCCCTCCGGCTTTTCCTCCAGCCTGCCTTTAAATACCAGCCCTGGAGCCGGCACAGCACGCGTTCCTCCTGGAGAGCCCACGTCGATGAAAGCAAAGACCAGCTCCAGCCCTGCAGCCATGTCCTCATCCCTGCGAGTGAGCCCCTCGCTCCACGGCTACCGCTTCGACACGGCGCTGCGCAAGAAAGCCGCGGCCAACATCTTCGAGAGCATCAACGAGGCCGCCCTGCAGAAACTCTTCAAAAACTCCGGCGACAAGAAGGCGGAGGAGAGAGCCAAGATAATCCTCGCCACCGACCAGGACATGGAGGAAAAGACGAGAGCGCTAATGGCACTAAAGCAGAGGAGGAAAGACAAACTGCTGCAGTTCCTGACGTTTCGGAAATACTCCCTTAAAGTTCACTGAGCTGGCGGGGGCAGCAGAAAGAGGGAGAACGTTTTGTGACCGGACTGGTTGAGACCTCCAAGAATGCTCAGCGTGCTCTGCTGCCCCGTGGGCCTGGGGACCTGAGAGTCCAAGCAAGGGGCTCCGGCCTCACTGCAAAAAACGAGCCACAGCAGCATCAGTGCCCACTGGTGTGGACAGCACTGGTGTGGCCAGCAGGATCGGTGCCCATGGCACATCCGTGTGGACAGCAGGATCAGTGCCCGTGGCACATCCGTGTGGACAGCAGAATTGGTGCCCACGACAGCACTGGTGTGGCCAGCACGGGTGTGAACATCAGGATCAGTGCCCATGGCACACCCATGTGCCCAGCAGCTTTGGTGCCCATGGCACATCCATGTGGACAGCAGGATCAGTGCCCACGGCACATCCATGTGCCCAGCAGCATCAGCACCCACCAGCAGCCTGGTGGCCAGAGGCTGGCACACAGAGAGCAGCTCCCAGCCTGAGGCAGAGCTCCTCCGAGCTGGAGGGGAGCCCACACACCTCGGGAGCTGCTGATGGACTCGGTGCTCACAGACTCTGCCTGGGTGCTTTGCCTCTTCATCCTCGTTTCCCTACAGCCCGAGCCCGTGCAGAGGTGGTGCTGTGGCTGGTGGGGGGCTCTGCAGACCCAGCTGTGCTCAGGGTTGCTTTGCATCTCCAAATGCACCCAAAGGCAGCGTGTGGTGCAGCGAGCTCAGCCACCCGGGCGTGCCTTTGCTCCAGAGACACTCTGCACAGCTGTGCCTCTCCTTGCCGAGCTGTGTGTGTGCAGCACACCGTTGTGGCCAGCCTGGTGGCCAGAGGCTGGCACACAGAGAGCAGCTCCCAGCCTGAGGCAGAGCTCCTCCGAGCTGGAGGGGAGCCCACACACCTCGGGAGCTCCTGATGGACTCGGTGCTCACAGACTCTGCCTGGGTGCTTTGCCTCTTCATCCTCGCTTCCCTACAGCCCGAGCCCGTGCAGAGGTGGTGCTGTGGCTGGTGGGGGGCTCTGCAGACCCAGCTGTGCTCAGGGTTGCTTTGCATCTCCAAATGCACCCAAAGGCAGCGTGTGGTGCAGCGAGCTCAGCCACCCGGGCGTGCCTTTGCTCCAGAGACACTCTGCACAGCTGTGCCTCTCCTTGCCGAGCTGTGTGTGTGCAGGAAAAGTCGTTTGCACAGAAGCAATAATAATGACAGATTACCCTGAATTTACTGTGAAGTTCCCGAATATTATGTTCACTTACCACTAACACTAAAAATCTAAATATAATAACTACAGTTCTTCTCTGTGTAGGTTACAGTCACTATTAGATGAGTGCTTACTTCATGGCAAAATTTTATGACAATGTTATTATTATATTGGATATAATTTATTGCATACAGCGATGTGAAAACTAATAAATTATGAAGTAAATCTAAATTATCTTGTCTGAAATGCTCAGTTCTCCTGGAGTGGTGGGGTTAGACTTTTTTTGTCATTTCATAGAGACCTGGTTAAGGGGCAGACTACCTCCACCTTTCCCTCATTGCACCTCTCCCTCTTTGGCAGCCCATTCTCAGGATGTGGAGCAGCCTCTGGCTCCCCCATCCCACCTGGCAGCACCAGCTTGGCCCACAGTTGCTATGGCAACCATGTCTTTTTTTTTTTTTTTTTTTTAATATTTTTTCCCCCAGAAAAGCCTCACCAAATTTATTGCTAATCAACTCCAGTGTCAGTTTCCCCTCTGTATAACAGAATAACATCTGCACTGAGGAAAGAAAGGTGTAGAAAATGATGGTTTGGGAGCAGGGTGGGCAGCACAGCTCGTCAGCCTCTGGCATTTCTGCAGAGCAGAGAAGGAACCTGGGCTCGGCTCCTCATCCCCCAAAGAAACAGCAGTAAGTTACAAAGCTCTGGCAGCAGAACTGGACTGTTTTTCTGCAGGTTTTGCTGTACTATCATGATAGATGATGCTGAAAGTACTTAAAAATAGCAAAGACTGGTTATTTATAAGTCTGTCCTCTAATAACCTGATGCTTTAGATAAAAACATTCCCATGACTCTGCTTAGAGCAACAAAGATAAAGCAGTTTGGAAGAGTGATAGCCCAGCTACAGGAGGTTTTTTTGCCTACAGTAAGAACTCCAAATTACCAATAAGTCAGGGAGACTAGAAATAATCTTTTAAGTCACCTAATAGAATGGGCAATTATAATTATTTATATCTGGAGCGGGATGCTCGGTGATTTCCCCTCCCAGGAAGAACAGAGAATAAACTGTTTTGGGATTAACCTGTTTGAAAGAGCTTCCAAAGGCTTTCCAGACCTGTCCTTGCTCAGAAGAATCTGTCTCAGAGCAGGTTTGAGCAGAGGAGTTGCCATTTTTCCAGCATTTGAGCAGAGCTGCAGCTGCTGCACCCTCGGTGACACATCCCCACAAACCATCCCCAGCCACCAACCCTGCCCCAAACGGGCTCTTCCCAAAAAAGGCCAAACAGGGCCTCTCAGTGCCTGCTCACAGCCCAGCCCTGCTCCACTCTCAGCCCTGGGGGTGCCACAGCTCCTCCCAGAGCAGCATCTGGTGGCAAACCTCACACCAGGAGCTGCTGGGGTGAGGAACCCCCAGCCCACCTGCCTCTGTGTTACCTGCCAGGACCTGAGCTGTCTGCTGCTGAGGATGCTCTGAGAACACCCTGCGGGGACCAGCTCAGCTCTTCAGCCTCCTGCTCTTCCCTGGCCCTGCTCCCCTGGACCTCTGAGGTGTCCCCATGTTGGCACAGGGCTGGATTTGGCACAGCCTTGTCACTCTCTGGGCCCCCAAAACCAAACCAGTGACCTGGGCAGCCTGGGCTTTCATTTGCCAACAGCTCTTGCTTGAAAGAAGGAAGCAAATCTGGCAGGAGCCGTGCTTGTGGCAGGCTGAGATCAGCACCCACTGAACTGGTTGCTGCTGGCAGGGTTGCCCAGACAGTCCTGTTCACAAGATTTGCATAACATGATTCATAACGTCCGCTGGCTTGGGGGTTTTATAGTCCCTCTTGTCTCACTACATTGAAATCACCAGCCCGAGTGGTATCCCTGATAAATAAAGGCCACTTTCTAAGAAGTTATGTGATTTTTGGATATTTACAGTGAGAAAAGTCACTTTTCCTTGGCTGGAACCTGACTTGGCAGGCTCGTGCTCCGTGGGCTCAACAAAAACTGCAATTTTTCATGGAACATGAATTCTCACGGACCAGGGGCCAAGGAGAGCTTGAGGCACAAATGCCCAACCACCCCAGGGCCCTCGCACACAACCCCAAATATCCAACCACACAGAGCCCTGTGCTGCTGCTCTGCTTCTCTCCAGGGCTGCACCTGGCTGGCTCAGGGCAGCCAGACCCATCCCGGGTGTTTGTGCCCAACCACACAGGGCTCTGCTCTGTGCTGCTGCTCTGCTTCTCTCCAGGGCTGCACCTGGCTGGCTCAGGGCAGCCGGACCCATCCCTGGTGTTTGTGGCACTGCCAGTAAAGATGCCCAGGCTGTGCCCCTGCTCTCTGCCCGAGCACAGAGGTGTGGGAGGGCAGGTCCCCGGGCCGTGCTGTCCCCGGGCCGTGCTGTCACCCTGCCCTGCTGTCCCCGGGCGGTGCCGGCCCTTCCTGAGCTGCCGGAGCCGCATTCCCGGCGCCTGCAGCGCTCGGGGCCAGCCCTGCCATTGTCATCCTCCCGCACAACAAACAGAGGAAAAGGCTGTTCAAGGAATTTCCTCCCTCCAGGAGCCGGGCGTTTCCATTAATTCTTCTCCGTGAGTCAGGCTGGCTGTACTGGGTGTCCCCTGTCCCAGCATCCTGAACAGCTAATTTTATCCAGCTTGTCTGACGCCCTGCTCAGCAGCCCTGCTGGTGGTTCCCCACTAGCCACGGAAAGGCAGGACAGAAACCAAGGAGAAGACTTTTGCCAGAAGCTCTGGTTTAGATGGGGAAGGTGGGGAGAAACTCAAGGTTCTGGAAAGAAAAATCCCAGAGCAAAGGGGGTGTCAGTGGCAGCAGACCACGCACAGGTCCCAACCTCTGTCCCCTCATCAAACACCCACCCCCATCTCTCCAAAATCCATGAAAAGACGGGGTTGGAAGGAGTCAGCAGCCCGGCTCAGCACGACCAGAGTGTTCAGGAGGAGATGAGGATGTTCCCAGTGTCTGAACAGCCAGTTCCGTGACCTTGAGTGCCTGGTGAAATCAGCACTCAGGGCAGGAGCAGAGCAGAGTCCAAAGCCCTCACCCGGCTCTGTTTGTGTGTGTGGGGGGACAGGGTGCTCCAGTCAACAGCAACACCTCCCTGGCAGCTTCCCTTACACCGTGGAGCAACAGGCAAGTTAAAAATTAACCTTTGAGCTCAGCTTCTGCCCTGCTGCACCCAGAGGGACAGACTCTGCTTGGCAAAGCACTAAAGCAGCAGCCCGGGTGTCCCTGGCAGCCCTGGCCTCGTGCTTGTGGAAACAGCCACAGATGAAGCATATTTCATCTGCAGCTGCCCAGGGAAACCTCTGCTCTGAAGCAGGTTAAGTGTGAGTGACAAGCTGTAAAGAGTGAGATTTGTGGATGTGCCGGGGTGGTTTTCACAGAAAAGAGCTGGTCTGGGGTTTCAGAGCTCGGGTGCCTCACGTGCAGCAAAATGATGCTCCAGTGTCACACCAAGGCTATTTATGAGAAGAAAAGCCTCTGGAATACCGCAGGCAACAGGAGATGGCACAGCCACCATTTATCTCTGCTAAAAAACCAACAGCTGGGCCATGACCAGAATCTTAACACACGCCCCTGAAAAAGCCCCTTATTCCCGGCGAGCATTCCCTGAATGCCCGGCCGGAGCAGGCTCTGCCGTGGGAAGCTGTGACATTTTCTGCTTCACGGCTCCCAGCTGGGGGCCCGGACAGTGAATCAGAGCCGGGGCAGCTCCCGGACCGCGGCTCCGCGCTGCGCCCACGCCAGGGGAGCATCACCGGCCCCATCAGCGCGCAGTCAGCGGCATCCCGCAGCCTCCTCCGCGGAAAACCCGCTCCTCCCCGCGCTGAGCGCTGCCCCGGGCCCGCCCGGGTCGCTGATTCACCCTGCAGCATCATTTCCCAAAAGGAGCCTGGCAACGGGAGTGTCGGAAGCCAGAGCATCTCTCTGGATGCC